CGGTGCCGGCGGAAGTGTTCGTTCCAGCACCAAGGCCTGTTCCAGCACCGGTGCCGGCAGCAGTGTTCGTTCCAGCACCGGTGCCGGCAGCAGTGTCCGTTCCAGCACCAAGGCCTGTCCCAGCTCCGGTGCCAGCAGCAATGTTCGTTCCGGCTCCGAGGCCCGTCCCAGCTCCAGTACCTGCGGCGGCGTTCGTCCCGGTCGAAGCGTCTACGGGGCCCGTGCCGACGCCCACGCCGCCGCCGGGCGCGGTACCGACGGGCTGCGCGCGCCCCTCCATGTTCGCCATGCCCTTCTGCGTCTCAAACTCGCCGCGCTCCGTCGCAGCGTGCCCGCGTTGGGTCGTGCCCGTCGCCGAATCGACAAAGTCCATCGCGTTTCCGCGGATGCTCTCGCCGATGCCTGCAGGAACGAGTAGCGTCGTCAGTAAGACGCGGCGGTTGTGAGCTCGGGGCGAGGGTGAGTGCGTACCGTGTACAGTCTGGAACGCGCCTCTGCGAAGATGAAGGGTGGTAAGCATGAGCTCGTGCGACGCGACGGAGTACTCACTTGACCTTCTGGCCGACGCTCGTGCCTGCAGAGGATCCAGTCGACATATTGTTAGATAAAATGCGTGAAGAAATTCAGGTGGAAGGGGTGGTTGTGTTGTTGTGGAGCTGTCACCATTGTGCGATTGCCCCTATATACGCCGAGGCAGCGACTCCATGCGCGCCACAGCGGACAGGTGCGCCACCACAGCGATGACGTCATAACAGAGGACCGGGAGGAAGCCACTGACATCGTTGAGCGGTGTCCGCATTGGGTATATTCTGCCGCGTGGAGAAGAGAAAGGTATCAGATCACCACTGGAAAGATTATTGATGCAAGTGTCAAGTGCCAACTGTCTACTCTACGTCGTCGTTCGGACCACGTCATAGATGATAGAATTTACTATTTACTTTAGAGCTTTGACGGAGTTTAGAGTATCACTACTGTACGCTTGAAAATTACATGCTATATCTATGCGAAGACATTAGTCCAGTACACCTGATAGATCCCTTGCTCGCCTAATATCAAAACAAAGGAATGTTCACAAACTGAAAGACCTGCAATAATCTCGTTAGCAACACACCTCACACGAAAGCACGCATAGTACTCACTCGTCATGGAACTGCACCCCACCAACCGACTTCATGTCCTCCGCATCAAGCGTGCCAATCGCCCTCCGGACGTCGCTCGACAGCGTGACGGGCCCACACGCGCCCACGAGCACGCCATGCGCGCGTCCCCAACCCTCAGCGCCGCCCGCGTCCTGGCCGAGCGCGGTCGCGGTGCGGACGACGAACTCGGAGAGGAGGTGCGCCGTGGCGGCGCGCCCGGCCGCGAGCGCCAGCCCGCGCGGGAGCGCGTCCAGGGCCGGGTACTTTTCGTGCTCGCCCTTGTTCAAGGCGCGCGTGTAGTACACCTGGATCGTGAGCTCGACAGGAAGCGCGTGCGACTGCGTGAGGAGAGAGGAGAAGGGCGACAGGAGCGGGTTCACGGCGCCTGCGAAAGCGTGCATAAATGGGACGATGAGCGTCTTTTCTTTTTTTGGCAGATTTGGAGCGAAGAGCGGGGGACTTACGCGCGTGCGTGATGCACCAAACGAGGTCGATCGTGCAGACGTTCGACGTCCCCTGCGAGATGCGTTGCAGAAGCTCCTGCACCGCAGCGAGCCCGAACGAGATGCCACTCCCGCCGCAGACGAAGAACGCGCCGGAGAAGCTGGAGAAGACCGTGTTTCCCGGGCCGCCTGCGCAAAACCCGTCATCAGTCCCAGAGTCCAGCACAGCAGCCAGCCAGTTCCGCAGTCACGCACCGTACGGCCCCTCGATCTGAACCCTGACGCGCCGGAGGCCCTTCTCATTCTCCGCACCCTGCCCCTCCGCAGCGAGGTCGTACAGCGCGCGCGACCAGCGCCCGTGGCGCTTGACCATGAGCACGAGCCCGTCCCCGCCCGCGTACTCGCCCGCGCTCGCGATCGTGAACGCGTGCGGCTCGGCCCAGGCCGTCCAGCCCATGCCGCGCGAGAGCACGCGGACGCGCACGAACTGGCCCGCGCGCCAGCCCGCGTTGAGCGTCGGCACGCGCACGAGCGTCGTGTGCAGCTCGGGCACCGCCTCGAGCTGCGCCTCGGGCACGCGCGTCTTCGCGAGCCGCAGCACGTGGTCGACGCCCCAGAAGCCCGCGGCGATGCTCACGTACGGGACGGCGAACGGCGCGTGGATCGAGATCTGAAGGCGCGTGCGTGTATGGTCAGTGCGAGCGGGTGAGCAGGGTGCACGAGCGGGAGGGACGCACGGAGACGAGGGCCATGATGGTCATGATGGAGTGCGTGGCGTAGAAGAAGTTGTAGTAGTTCTTCCGGATGAAGCTCATGGAGGTGAGGAACAGGAGATCGTACGTGACCAGCGTGACGAGACCCCAGCGCACGAGCTGCTTCTGCGTCTCCTGCGTCCACGTGCCTGCTATGACCCACTTGTAGACTGTGAAAAGCACAATAAGCGTTCGTAACATCGTGGCACATGCTCAAGACATACTGAAACCCAAGGCATGAACGTTGGCAGCCAGGACAGTCAGTCGTCCGGCCATGCGATGAATGTAGTTCAGCTGCAAAGCTTTCAGTCATATCGTTTGCAACAGACTTATTAGCATACCTTTTCGTAGCCGCGCCCCGTCATCGTTCCTATAATGTTATTTTTGCTTGCCAGCATGTACACCCATGGCAGCTGCGAAGCAACGATCGCGCCCTCTCGGATCGAATTGTTGAAGACACTATCACGGTACAGCGCGGCGAAAAGCAGCGTGCTGAAGTAGAGGATCAGGAGGAACGCCTTGCCGAAGGTCCAGGCGCCGGGGAATGGCAGGTGGTAACGAAGGACTTTGGCGACAAAGGGGAAACGCGAGCCGAGCGACCTGGCGTGTGGG